ATTTGTTCTGTTGGTTTCAAAGTGCAAGGAAGTAGTTATCAGCTCAGTTTAAGGAATCACTTTCTAAGAGTCAGAGCTGCACAAAGGGGAATGCACTGCATGGGGTGTAGTGAGTGTCCTCTCAGTAGGAGTATTCAAGTGCAGGCTGGACGATGGCATGGTGGGAATATTGTAGGATGGGTGGTTGGGCTAGAACTAGGTTGAACTTTAAGGCCGCCTCTAACTGAGAGTCTTTGATTCATGCACACTGTTCTCACAAAAGTGGCATATTACAGCAGCTTAACCATGAGCTGGCCAGGAAACCCAAAGACTGATACATTTTACACATTTTATATTTTATGCCGCTGATTCAGTATAAAATTATTCCCTTTTTCTGTGTTTCACTTTTAATGAAAGTATAAATATTCATGTAGTACTTTACTCTGTGCAAAGCATTCCTACTTGAAAAAAGGATGGAAATGTCAACGAAGTTATCAATGGAGTCTAAAAAATAATGAGTATAATGATCTCAAAGTCAGTAAATAATAAATAACAATATGCTATTATATAAATTACAAATGTCTATAATTGCCTTAACTCATTATCGCATGAAACATGAAACCCACAGTCTCCTTGATACCAAGACATGAATTCCTGTCTGGTGGATGGAAGTCCTCTATCTTTCCCATGAAAAGACCCTTAACATCTGAGAGTGTTCTCATGTCTGGCTCAGTAGTAATGGTTTCAAAGTAGACCTCAAAAAGTCTTGCCACAATAGGACCTAGCAGTTTGAAAGCAGGGGCTTGAACAGATACTGGCACTTTCACGTTCATAGCAGCATTGTTCACTGTAGCCCAGAGGTAGAAGCAAGCCAGGTGTCTCGTGACAGAGGAACAGATAAACTAAGTGTGATGTCTACATACAATGGAATATTACCGATGGAATATTACCCAGCCTTAAAAAAGAAGGACATTCCAACACAGGCCACAACATGAGTGGGTGAATCTTGGAGACATTATGCTAAGTGAAAGAAGCCAGTCACAAAAGGACAAATGTACGATTCCACTTACACAAGGGACCTAGAGTAGTCGAATTCATAGAGACAAAAGTAGAAGGATGGTTGCCAGGGGCTGGGGGCTGGGAAGGGAATGGGGAGTTATTTAATAAGGATGAGTTTCAGTTTGGGGAGATGAAAAGTTCGGGAGCTGGATGGTGGAGATGGTTGCACCACAACGCTGATGTTCTTACCACCGCCGAACTGTACCCTTCAAAATGGCTACAGTGGTAACCTTATTACATATATTGGACTGTAATGAAAAAAAGTCTTACTTTTTTTACTTGCAAATTAATGGTACCTGCATATTTCTACTCTTCTCCCCTCTACAAAATATTCAGATAGGTTTGGCTGGGTTGCTTCAGGATTGATATAAAGATACAAAGAGTTGATATAAAAAGTGGTGCTTTTTTGAGTACTTACATATTTTATTTTATTTATTTATTATTTATTTATTCTTTAAAAAGATTTTATTTATTTATTTGACACACACACAGAGAGAGAGAGAGAGAGAGAGAGCACAAGCAGGGGAGACAGAGAGAGAGGGAGAAGCAGGCTCCCCACTGAGCAGGGAGCCCGATGTGGAGCTCGATCCCAGGACCCCGGGATCATGACCTGAGCCGAAGGCAGTTGCTTAACCAACTGAGCCACCCGGGAGCCCTGAGTACTTACATATTTTAAATTATATTATTTGTTCAGGAACATAAAGCTCTATTATGTACATTTTGGCTTAATCATGAATTAATCATGCTTTGGTAGATCACACTGACAGTCTCCTTTTCAATAATTATATACTTACCAATTGGATGAAGCCCTCAAATATACTCTTGGTTAAAAAGAGAGACAACATTTAAGGGACTGCGTATCTTTTGTTTCATTTCATTTTCTGCAAGTTTATGAGAAGTGGAAAAATTTTTTAAAAGCTCTCTCAACATCACGGGAGCACCCAGGCGGAGTTGGCTGGAAGCTGACACGATGTCTCATTAATTACTAATGGGATGGCTGCCTGGATTCTGAGTTTCCGCCTCCATCCTGTTTCTGTCTTTTTAACTGGCCCCTATTCCACAGTTCTCGTCCTTGTCCCTCACAGATGTGGGGTGCTCCCAAGGCTCTCAGTTCTTACTGCTGGGTTTCGCTTTATTTCCCACTCTCGCAGCTTTCCAAGTAAGCCGGGGGTCCCGTTCCTCTCGCCAGTAACCTCCCCAGGTCTGGCCCTCACCCTGCTCCCAAGCATGGGAGGAAAGGGGTCCTTTTTCTAGGGGACACATCTCCCCGATGCTGCCTGCCCAGACCCCTACAAGTGCCCAGCACTCTTCTCTGCCCACTTCTGGGTCTTGACTCTACCAGGGCCCAGAGGCAGCTGGAATGCTGGGCTCCGTGCCTAATTGGTGAGGCCTCCCAGCTGGACCAGTCCAGCCCCTGCCTCCCAGAAAGACCTCTCCTCCCAGGCCTCTGCGCTTCAGTGCCCACTGCCAGGGCCCCCTTGCCCGCACCATCCTGGGGCTTGTAATCCTCCACATCCCAAGAGCTTCTGGGATAGGAGACATGCTGAGCCACAGGGTGGGGGTGATCATGAGGCACTGGGAACTGGGGACAGGGACTCCAGGCAGGGATGGAGTTCTGCAGAGGCAGGAGGGAGACTGGATAGGATGTGTGTTTTCCTCCAAGTCTCATCCCAGTGGAAGCCTGGGGCCATACACTATTAAACTTAGCTCAGGCGTGTGGTATATGCTCAATAAATACCAATTTAAAGTCTTTGAAGGCAGTATCATCCCTTAAAAGAACTTGCTCAGCACCAGACAATTTTGCCTAATGGTTTATATGGATGATTTCATTTAGTTTTCAAGACAACACTATGAAGCAGGCAGCATTATTATCCCCTATTAGTTGAAGAAACCGAGGCGCAAATAACTTGCCCAAGATCACGCAGTGAAAGAGCAGAATTTGATCTGAGGCTGAAGACAGCCCCTTGGCATCACATGGCCTCCTCTCTGATGAAGAGAACTGACCTATCAGCCCAGCAACCACATTCCCAGCCAGGACCAGAGCCCAGGCTACTGGCCTATGGTTCTGAAAATTCAGAGGGGAAGGGAGACGAGGCACAGAGGGGTCCACTCATTCATTCACTTCTTCTTTCAATAAACTGCATGTAGGGGGCGCCTGGGTGGCTCAGTTGGTTAAGCGACTGCCTTCGGCTCAGGTCATGATCCTGGAGTCCCGGGATCGAGTCCCGCATCGGGCTCCCTGCTCAGCAAGGGAGTCTGCTTCTCCCTCTGGCCCTCCCCCCTCTCATGTGCTCTCTCTCTCTCTCTCTCTCTCTCTCATTCTCACTCTTTCAAAATAAATAAATAAATCTTTAAAAAAAAAATAAAATAAAATAAACTGCATGTAGGTCCTGTGCCAGGCATGGGTCTGAGCCTGTCTGGCTCGTCTCTTCCTCCTCCTGGCCACCCGTGTCTCAGCCTTCTTTGCCCGGAAAATAAATGACGGGCTCTGCCTTCAAGACTCAGCCCAGATATCTGGTCCTCCAGGAAGGACCTTGCCTTGTTCATTGCTATTGGCACATTTTTAGGGCTCCAGAAATGTATGTTTTGACTGAATGTCTCCCTTGCAGTTGCACGCTCCACCCCTACCTCCAGCTCCAGTAGTTTGTAAGCTGCTGATGATTAGGTATTGAAGGGCAAGTTTATATTCCAGGCATTGCGTGGGGGACGCTTTTTAAAACACTGTGCAAGTATATCCTGCCTTACATAATCGATTTATTTTAGAAAGGTTGTGGGTGCATGAACTTTTTATGAATTGAAATCCTATTTTCTCACTGATGTATGTTTTAGAGATGACTTATGCTAACCTGCTGTTAAACTTCACTTTTTAGGGGCACCTGGGTGGCTCAGTCCGTTAAGCATTTGCCTTTGGCTCAGGTCATGATCCCGGGATCCTGGGATCCAGCCCCCCTGCTCAGTCGGGAGCCTGTTTCTACTTCTCCCTCTTGTGTTCTCTCCCGTGCGTGCACTCTCTCTCAAATAAATAAATAAAATCTTAAAAAAAAAAACAACACTTTTTAAAAATGCTGAGCCCTAACACCTTAAAACCAAGCTTCTCTCAAGTGAACCCCTCTACAGGATGATAGTCCATACACAATCTCTTAAGTGCTCTGACATACCTTTACATGTAAAAGAACACTTTTGCAATCCTTTTGCAAAACATCTTTATAAATTTTTTATGGTCAGATTTTGGGAGCTCAAATTAATTTTGATTTGTGTGTGTATAGTTAAAATCAAATAGAACTAAATATGTCAAAAAGAATGAGCAATTCTCTGCAAACCGCCCTCTGCCCACCCCTCCCCCACCCCAAAGCAACCACATTCAACTCCTTTAGGCTCAGCGATTTCCCTGTATTTCTATGGAGTCAGAGCTGAAGCCCACAAGCCACAAGGCTTCAGTGAAAGTATTTCTTAAGCTCTGTTAATACTGATGGGCATAGCCCGGCTGAGCCAGCATGAAGTTAGATGGTCCGACTGTCAGCACACTCAGCAGATGCTAGAAGAACGCTCCCACATGTGGTCTCCAATAAAAGATAACCTCTGTCGAAGGCCTTAAAGAGTGAGGTCGAGACAGGGTAGGCTACAGTCGTGGGACGAGTGAAGAAAGGCCTGACAAAGGAGGAATAGGGGCGGAAGGTATCAGATTTCCCAGCACATAATCCTGTGCTACAATATATGCTTGGGAGAGGTCCCATGGCCACAGTGCCCATAGCAAGAGCATCAAAAAAAAAAAAAAAAAAATGCTGTTATTGTTGTTAAATCACCGTATTGTATATCTGAAACTAATACGACACTGTATGCTAACTACATAGGAATTACAATAAAAGTAAGTAAATAAATAAAATGTTAGGTCCAAAAAATGTCCAAACACACACACACACACACACACACACACACACACACATTTTTTTAATGTAACTTACTTGTGCATGTTTTTTTATCTGGGTTAAGAGCAAATCCTTTAGGGCACCGGCAAAAGTAGGAGCCGTCCGCATTCACACACTCATGTTCGCATCCGTGGTTCTCTGACGCACAGTAGTCCACAGCTGTAAATATTCAAACACAGAGTTGAAGTAGAAACCCAAACAGGAAAGGAGATAACAAGATGGACTGGAAATAATGGCATACTTATAACAAATATAAATGAAGATTAACATCATTGCCCCCCAAATACTATGAATAAATAAACATGGATCCAAGGCTTCTCCCCTCCTCACCCAAAAAATAATCAGGGGTCTAGATCAGGTAGTTTATAGCAGAAGATAGACTAAAGAACACACGACCAATTGTATTTAAACGTTAAAGAAATACAAATCAGGGGCTCCTGGGTGGCTCAGTTGGTTAAGCATCTGCCTTCAGCTCAGGTCATGATCTCGGGGTCCTGGGATGGAGCCCCGCATCAGGCTCCCTGCTCCTCAGGGAGTCTACTTCTCCCTCTGACCCTCCCCCCTTCTCATGCTCTCTCTCTCTCTCTCTCTCTCTCTCTCTCTCAAATAAATAAATAAAATATTTAAAAAAAAGAAATCCAAATCAAAACCATCACAAGGCTTACGACACTTATAAGTATTAAACTGCACAAATAAAAACAGGACAAAACCCAATAGTGGCAAGGTGGCCTGGAAAGGGAATCAGAGCTTTTCATGGAGCTGGAATCATAAATTGACAAAAATTCTTTTGGAAGGACATTTGACAATGTTCACCGTGGAAACGTGACCCAGAGAAATCATTGAGAAAAGGGGGAGATTAACTATATGAAATAAGCTATTTATAGCAGCATTATTTACGGTGATAAAAAAAATCTGGAAAATAAGATGAACAATAAATAATGGTAAATGCTTTAGTGAATTATGAGAAGATGTCTTGTCCTATTTCTCATAATTCTACGAATATTTACTGAACACCTACCCTGGGCCTGGCCCTGTTTTAGGGACTAAGGATAGAGCAAAAAACAAAACAGACACAGATGCCCGTCCTCAAGGAGCTTACATGTGGATGATGGTGGGGGTGGTCAAAAAATAAAATAAATAAGTAAACTGGATCATCTCGTAGAAGATGGAGAGTATTCTGGGGAAAAGGAATAGATCCCGTGGGGAGGCAGGAAGGACGGTGGAAGGTAATAGAAGTGGCCAGGAGAGCCCTCAGGAGAAGGGGGCATTTGGGCAGAGTCTTGAATGAGGGACTAGCCAAGCGGGTAAGTGGGAGGGAGCAAGCACTGGGGCAAAAGGAAGAGCAAGCACAAGGGCCGTGAGGTGGGCACCTGCCCGGTGTGCTGAAGGACCCGCAGGGAAGCCAGCGGGACTGGAGCAGAGCCGGGTGGGAGGTGAGGATGGAGTGTGCATCAGGAGGCACCGAGGCCACGGCATGACTTTGGTTTTTACTCTGAGTGAGCAGGGAGTCACTGGAAGGTTCTGAACACGGGAATGGAGAACAGACCACAGAGAGCAAGTATGACAGTAGTACACCAGTTAGAAGGCGACAATCATCCCAGTGAGGAACAGTGGAGGGTGAAAGCAGGATGGCAGGGCACAGGGCTGGGTGGGAGAGACAGGGGAGCAGTGTTCTGGGTGTTCTGGGCTAAAGGTGTTGCCCAAAAAGATTATGTTGAAGTCCTCTCCCCGGTACTTGTGAATGTGATCTTATTTGGAAACAGGGTCTTTGCTGATCCAGTGGAGCAGCAATGAGGTCCTACGGGTGGACCCTAATCCAATACGGCTGGTGTCCTTATAGGGAGAGGAGAATGCCCCGTGAAGACGCGGACACACAGGGAGAACGCCATGTGGGTTTGGTGGTTGGAGTGATGTGGCCGCAGGCTGAGGAAACCAAGGGTCGATGGTCACTGCCAGAACCAAGGAAGGCTTCTCCCCTACAAGTTCCAGTGGGAGCATGGCCCCACCAGCACCTCAGCTTCAGGCTTCTAGCCCCAGAACTAGGAGGCAATACCTTTCTGTTAAGTCACCGAGTTTATGGTCTTTTGTGATGGCGGCCCTAGGAAGCTAATGCACCAGGTATCAGTTGAGGTGGGGACCATGGGGGTCCTGCCGGAACAGAGGTGGGCAGGAGAAAAAGAGAGGGAGGAAGGCTGACTTGGGGGACCTGGCGTGAGGATGGAGTTGCTGTCATCTGATGGGGGAGGCACAGTGAGTTTGTGGGAGAAGATCGGGAGTTCTACTTGGGGCATGTGACAGTTATCAACATTCTCATCCTCATGTAATTGTAAATAGGAAGACAGATAAAATTTGGTGGAAAAAGTAGATCTCAAAACTGAATATTTACAGGGATTACACCCAGGTAAAATAGAGCTCCTAGGAATGCCTAAAGCCTGGAAACTAGAAATGAAAATTCTTGCAGTGTTAAGGTGGAGAATTATGGATGATTTGTTTTTCCTTTTAAAAACATTTCCCTTGGGGCCTGGGTGGCTCAGTCAGGTAAGCGTCTGATTCTTGGTTTTGGCTCAGGTTGTGTTCTCAGGGTCATGAGATCAAGCCCTACGTCTAGCCACTCAGTGAAGAGTCTGCTTAAGTTTCTCTTTTTCTCTCCCTCTGCCCCTCCTCCCCTCTTTCCCAAATAAATTAATTAATTTTAAAAAAACCATTTTCCTCTATAACATTTTAGGATACTCCAATATCAAAAACTTGGAAATAATAAAAAGGAAATGGGATCCACAATTAATACACATGTGTGATTTGAAAACCAACACCATGCACTGGGAAGATAATGACATACTTAACATAGTGATCAAAAGATGCAAAGGAAAAAGCTACCAAGTTTTAAAAGCTGTGTTGTGCTTATTCTTTTGCTTCCAAGCTTCATTAAGTTTCTTTTTTTTTTTTTTAAGATTTTATTTATTTATTTGACAGAGAGAGACCCAGCGAGAGAAGGAACACAAGCAGGGGGAGTGGGAGAGGGAGAAGCAGGCTCCCCGCCGAGCAGGGAGCCCGATGCGGGGCTAGATCCCAGGACCCTGGGATCATGACCTGAGCCGAAGGCAGACGCCTAACGACTGAGCCACCCAAGCGCCCCTGGGCTTCATTAGGTTTCTAAGGATCATTTTTGTGACTTTGCCTCCCTAAAGAGTTCTAATAGCACCTAATATTTGAGGGTTAAATACACAAATCATTGTGGGAACAGGACATTCACATAGTTGCAGGATCTTCATGTCATGGGACCTAAGCCAGTTGCTAGAGTTGAGTCATACCATAAATAGTGCTCTAGCACCAAATTCTTCTAAAAGTTAAGGTCTCGGGCGCCTGGGTGGCTCAGTCGTTAAGCGTCTGCCTTCGGCTCAGGTCATGATCCCAGGGTCCTGGGATCGAGTCCCACATCGGGCTCCCTGCTCCGCGGGAAGCCTGCTTCTCCCTCTCCCACTCCCCCTGCTTATGTTCCTGCTCTCGCTGTCTCTCTCTGTCAAATAAATAAAAAATAAAAAAAATAAAAAAATAAAAGTTAAGGTCTCATCGTTCAAGAACCATTGTAACATCGAGTAAATACTTGCAGAAACGAGGACCCTGAGACCAAGCCCTGGCATGGGTCCCAGTCACAGGAGCGGGCCATGCTGCAGCCCACACCGACCCGTGTTAGCAGTAGGCACCTCCCACCTCTGACCTCCCCATGTTGGGCCTCATCTACCATCTTCAAAATCTCCCAACCACTGATAGGGGTACCTGCCATCAGCCAGCCTGTCCTACCTCAGGCCACCTACTTTTTAGTGTCCCCACCAAAGAGAAGAGCTGCTCCTCTGACTTCCACGTTCTTGACAATATCACAATGCTGAGTGGGCCACTATCTATACCTGAAGTCAGAAACTCAGATTCTCCCTCTCTCTTGAAACTTCCTCTTACACACCATGGAGTGTAATTTCTGAGCCCAGCCAGCTCTGTCCCTCAGAGAGACACCTGAGTATGTTGGCCCCTTATTAGAGTGCGGACTGGTTGGAAGTTTTGCTTAGGCCTAAAATCTAAGCCCTATACTCCAAACTTGCATTTTTCCAGAATGCTCTAGAACATCCAGTGTTGGCTCAGGCAGTTAATAGAGTTGTACAGAGGAAGCTCTTTTAACTGACCTCCACTTAACCGATGCCTGATCAGTCAATGCTTTTCATTCCCTCTGAAAATATGAGAACTGATGCCCAGAGCATACTAAATGCTCCAGGCTGTTGGAACATTTGTTCTTCTGAACAGCTGTGGCTGGGTTGCATGCTTATAAAGCAGCTGTGGAGGAACACCTGTGCTCCAGAACACCTGTGTACTTTCCCTATTGCCTGACTGCATGCTTATAAAGCACTGGTTCTCAAAACGTGGTGGGGAACCAGCTGCAACAATCATCCCTTGAGAACGTGTTGGTCATGCAAATTCTCGGGCCCCACTATAGACTTAGTGAATCAGAAGCTGGGTGTAGGGCCCAAGAATGTGTGTTTTAACAAGCCCTCCAGATGCTTCCGATGCATGTTAAAATTTGAGAACCACTGCCAAAGAGTCAAAATTGGTTTTGTTCCCAAGGCTATATATGCCATTTATACATGTTATTGTACTTAATTATAAATACTATAAAAACCAATTAAATATAAGCATTAAAACAAATTGAGTTTAAAAAAAAAACTAAATTGAAAGCTTTGGAAAGACCTAATTAAAGCAATTTGTCAACCAAAATTGCTGTGGAACCAGGCATGGATAAAACATGTAAAAGAGTGGGGAAATTTTCACAAAAATTTACAAGGATTCTGCCCTTAGGCTGCTTTACAGAATTCTTCAAATTCTTGCTTCAATTTCAAGAAACCAAAATTGAAAATCGTGGAGAGTACATTATGGGTATGATTTATGCCAGAAAAAAAATTTAATCATAGATTTAAAAAATGAACTTAAAATTAGTACTTTTCAAAAGTATAATTAAAGGTAATTTTTATTAAAAGTACATTTAGGTGTTTTAAGTAAAAACAAAAAGGTTAAGATAGGTTTGGATATGTGGTTTTTTTATGATTCCACTCTTCCAGAGACACTTTCCATCAATCGGCCAACCATAGGCCCAAGCTCACGGGGTAAGAAGGTTTCCT